TTATTGTTCCCTTGCCACTGAGAGTACACCTTTGCTGGTTCTGTGGAGAACAGCTGGTTTATTCTCCTGCCTTCTATCTCCCCTCCTCAAGCGGCTGGCCAAGGCTGTGAGTCTTTGCTTGGCCAAGGCCTCAGGTATGGACAGCTTGCTGTATTTCTTATGCACCTTCTTTGTCGCACCTTTCTGCAACTCCGTTAGTTGGCTAACCTCCCTTCGTGCTACTTTGATCTTGCCCTCTAGCCTCCTCCTCCATGGAGGGTACTGCCCCTTGTGGCTGTTCAACTTGTAGCCAAGCATCTCACTGATCACTGCTGCCGTATTGTAGATCAGCTTGTTAGTGTCGGTAATCGTGGTTGTAGGTATTGTCCGTAGTGCTGCATTAACATCATCTAGCAGACCTTCTGAGGGTACTTCACGTAATCTTGGTAACCGGCTACGGGGAATCCAGGTTTCAAGCTTGGCCATGATCCTATTTTTCAGGTCAGTTCCTCTCGCACTCAACGATCCTTCTCCTATCGCACTTGGGGCTATGTACCCAATCTCGGGTGGGGGTGATGATATCTCCCCCTGACCTGGCGTCCTCTCCTTGCCGTAGAATTTGTGTTGTACCTCGTCCATCTCTAGCTGTGAGAGCAGTCCCTTCTTTCAAAGGTTGGAACACTGAGCTACTAGTTGTTTCGCCGTCATTGTGGATGTTGGGTATCGAAGAATCCATAGGTCCCTCATCCTATTCATGTAGCCCCTTCCGCCGGGGTTACTTGCGTAGTAGCATTCCAACAACGCCTTGTTTTCGTCTCTTGCCCACCGATGCCTTCTTGTTCCAGTAGCCCACTTTTCGTCAGGGTGCCCTGGTTCCTCAACACCTGACGCGGACCTTGTTGATCCGGGCGACGTCCGAGCCGGCATGCCTTCATATTTATTTGTCTCGCTCATGTCTGCGGTAGGCTTGCTTAGCTTTTTCAATAGCTGCAAAGTCCTGAAAGCGTTTGTTAAATTCTCCAGAAAGAGACACGATAGCTGTTGCACACCTCTTCATTTGGACATTAATATCCACTGGGAAACTGTCAATAACCTCTTTCAAAGTTGGGAAGTGTGTGGTACAGGGCTCTGTTAGGGACAAGTGTCTTTGAAAAAGTTGCAGTTTGGTTCCAAAGGCCTTGATGTAAGCGTATAGTTGGCTCACCACTGCGTCTTGTCCTTGAAGATTAACATTCAGCGCATTCAGATGCTTCGTAATGTCAACCAAAAAAGCCAGATTTGCCAGACATACAGGATCAGACATTTCTTCCATTGGTTGTCCCTTTTCATCTAAAAACTGTCTGATTTCCTCTCTGAGAGAGAATAATCGCTGTAGTGCAGACCCCCGACTTAGCCACCTCACATCATTGTAATAAGTTACGTCACCATATTCAGCCTGGATGTCATGCAGAAACTGCTGAAACTGTCGGTGGTACAGAGCTTTAGAGCGAATACAGTTGATTGTCTTTGCTACTGGTTTCATAACATCATCAAATTTGAGATGTTTGGCACAGAGAGCCTGCTGATGAATGATACAGTGAAGTTTAACAGCGTTACCTGCTTCTTCGCTGACTTTATTGCAGATCAGTGTGGACAATCCGCTTCGCTCACCAGCCATGGCAGGTGCACCATCAGTAATGATCCTAGAAACTTTACTCCATGGTAGCTTCATATCATCAACAGCTTCACAAACAGAAATGAATAAATCCATTCCTCTGGTTTGACCCTTAAGGCTTTTGAGATCCAGCAGCTCCTCGTTCGTCTTGTTGTCGACTCCTCGTAAAAAAAAATCTGTAGTTGCGCGGTGTCAGATGCATCGGTGCTTTCATCGCAGGCTAATGAGAAATAATCAAAATCCACTCCTCTTTCCCGCAGCCGTCTGTGAATGTCTGACGATATATCCTCAACTCTTCATGCCACAGTGTTGCGTGCCAAGCAAACACTCAGAAATTCTTGCTTCTTCTCAGGGCAAATGTTCTCCACCATTTTCATGACACAGTCTTTGATAAACGTACCTTCAGTGGAAGGTTTGCCATGTTTAGCTATTAACATAGCCACTTCGTAGCTGGCTTTCGTGATATTTTCATGTGTCTCACAGGCCCGCATGAAAAATCGCTGTTGCGAAGCCAGAGCAGCTTGGAGTTGCTTCACATTTTCAGCGCGCTCACTCCCTGTTAACTTGTTAAATGTTGCAGCATGTTTAGTCTCGTAGTGTCTCCTGATGTTAAAATCCTTGAACAAGGCAATAGTCTCTTTACAAATCAGGCAAACACAATTGCCTCGAATTTCAGAAAAATTCCCACCGCTCCTGAAAGCGGCGGCCCTCACCATCAACCTTTCTCTTTTTTTGTACAGTCGCCATGGCAGAAATGAGCAGAGAAGGGCGGGCTTGCAGCACAGGTGCAAGTAGCAAAAAAAATGTGCTGCCACCATGTGCTGAAAAAAGGAATTACACCTTTAAAGTCATGATTTATTTATTCAGACTTAGAAAGTGAGCCATAAATTATACATAATTAGACTGAAGCTGTGGGCCACTTGAAATCTGTCGGACTTTGGACATGCCTGACGTAAAAACTCCAAAACACGTACAAAACACAACAGAAGCGCTCCAGGATGCTCGGCGCAGTGTTGAGCTTTTGTTACCTAGTGGCTACACAAGCCAGCAAGTACCACTGACTGGATTTGGTGTGTGGTAGTAACAGGTAAATGAACTTTTTTTTTAAAATTATTTGAATATATGAGTGCTTGTGTATAAATACACAAACCATACACATACTGTATGCTTTCAATTGTGTAATTTAAGTGATCTAGGTAGCTCTGTTTTGGAAGTTCAGTTAATGCTAGAAATGTGTTTTGGAGTTTGTATGTGCTTTGGAAGTTGTACATGCTTTTTGGATTTTGTACGTGCTTTGTCTCTAGGGGCCACTGCATATATTTATATATAAAATATATATAAATAAAACCAACTTCTTTTTTTTTTTACATTAGTAATTCCTTTTGAGCATAATTTTATATTATTGTTAATAATAAATTAATTAAAGCAACAAAACAACCTGAAGAGTCGGTTCGGAGCCGAAGAGCCGGCTCTTTTTAGTGAGTCGAGCCGAAAGAGCCGGTTCTCTAAAAAGAGCCGGAAATCCCATCACTAGTGTGTGTGTGGTGTCGAGGCAGACTCCAATAGACCTTTAATATGCTGTGGTATGCCATCATGTGATACGCTGCAGCCTGCATGCCAAATATCTTTGGGCAAGATACTAACCCCATGTTGCTCTCCAATGCATCTATTGGAGTATGACTGCATGTGAATGTTAAATACAAAGCACTCAGAAACAGCATAGAAAAAAGTGCTTGTATGAATGGGTGCGCTGCTTTTTTGCATGTAAAGCACTTTGAGTGCTCAGATAATGTAGAAAAGCGCTATATAAGAACCAGTCCATTTACCAATATCCAACTTTCTGATAAGTAGATGACCTGCTAACCTGTAGCTAACCTGTAGCTTGTCTGTTTCTCAGAATCCCCAGCTTTCTTATAAGCCATCTACTGACCGGCACCGACACTATCATCGTGATTTATTGCCAAGTACTTAGCTGCTTGCCCACTGTCCTGTTCCCACCACCTTCCAAGCTCCAGTCCCTGTACTCTTTTAATCCCTGCTGTTTTATCTACTCAGCTTGCACTGTCCTGCTCCTTAAATTCACCTGCTGCCCTTCATTTATCTCCAGTGACTTCCTTTTAAAAAAAAAGACAAACTTAATTGAAAAACCTATTCCTCTGGTGTAATTCAGCCTGCTTGTTGCTTCGTCTTGTAATTGGAAGGTTGCCGGTTCAATCGCCGGTTCGGACAGTCTCGGTCGTTGTGTCCTTGGGCAAGACACTTCACCCGTTGCCTACTGGTGGTAGTCAGAGGGCCCGGTGGCGCCAGTGTCTGGCAGCTTCGCCTCTGTCAGTGCGCCCAAGGGCAGCTGTGGCTACAATGTAGCTTGTCATCACCAGTGTGTGGATGTGTGTGTGAATAAGGTGGATGACTGAATGTAGTGTAAAGCGCTTTGGGGTCCTTAGGGACTAAGTAAAGCGCTATACAAATACAGGCCATTTACCATAACGTAACAAGTTATATTATGGTTTCTGTGTTAATGTCCTGTGACTGAAGAAAAAAAAATCCCATCGACGCAGATTATTTGTCTGCTGATATTTAGACAAATAATAGAATATAATGAATAACAAATTGAACAAAAAGAATAAAATACTATTGACAGTCAAAGTTTACTTTAAAAAAAAATTATATTAATAAAAAGCAAGTCGACTTCTAATGAGAAGTTAACATCTGTCAGTTATGTTCTTAAAGCTTTTATCTGTTGAATTCAGAAATTTATTATACAAGTGTTAGTATGAATGTTTAATGGTTCATAGACTGACTAGTATGATGTCATTTTACTGATGAGGACAACTGCGACAGGAGAACCCAATAATAGAGACCTACTGTAAAGGCATCCCAGCCAATTTGCTTATCCTTTTGCATAATATAGAGGCAAAGAGGTTGCGCTTTTCACGTTTCTCAATTTTATGTCTCTCATCTCTACTGTATCTTGAGACTGAAACAATTAAGTCAGTTTGGCATCTTACAGGTTGTCTCATTTCCTAAAATGCATCTGGAGGGCAGAGGAGTCCCGTCAGCATCACTGTAATAATGTACACCTTTGTAAGTTTTATCTGCAATGCATAGAAGAGGAGCTACAAAAAGTTGCAAGTAATAAATAACACACAAATAATGAGATTTCTAAATTCAGCATTAATTTGTATTCTTAGTTATTTAAGATGATTAGGTATGTAGTCTAACTTTTTACCCTTCACCATTTGTAAGAGTGCCCAAAAAATGGATATGCTCATCTATCAGTAATCAGAAGACACAGCAGTGCTCTGGAAATTAGACAATAGACAGATGATGCAAATGTGCCACACACTTTTTTAAGTGACATCAATTTAACACGATGCAGTAAAGCTGTCTTATCACTACAGTGGCTGACTGGACTCCTCTCTCTCCTCATGTCTCTTCCTTAGAGGAAGGGGAGGGACTAAGACTGGAGGGACTAAGACTGCTTGGAGAGGAGGTGAGGAAAAGAACTGACAATAGCTCCTATTCCCCAGTCCATTACAACAAATACAAAAACAGCATACAGCCTTCCTGCAAACATCCACTCCATTGAAAGGGTGGACAGCAGCATGAAAGAGATACTGGGAAAACCCTTTAGCAATCAAACATATTTGCTGCATAACAATGACTTTGTATAGATTCCTTTTAGCTTAATATGCATGGATAAAACAGCTTAAAGATACTGTCATTTAAAGTGTAATGTTCTGATGTCCCCGAGTGACAGTCCTGTGGTTCAGAGAGAGGGCTCAAAGATGAAGTAAAAGTCATGATTTACTGGGACAAACTGAGTGAGAGACACTTCTGGCAGCCAAAATGCTCATTCATTCTTGTTAGAATAGAATAGAATTCAACTTTATTGTCATTGCACATGCA